CGGGTGAGGTAAGGGAGAGAGAGGGGGGTGGGGCACGGGGCGACCGTTTTTTAGTTAGGTTTAATTTCTTTGACGTATGCTAGCAGACGGCAAAGAGCGTAGCTAGTGGGGTGGGGCCGGGGGAAACGGTCGTTAGGTTGGCTATTCTCTTTGTCGTCTGCTCGCGAACGGCAAAGAAACTTTTCCATCCGCTAGCAGACGGCAAAGAAAGAGGCCGTTAGGTGGTTCTCGTTAGTGGGTCACCCTTCCTCTTTGTCGTCTGCTAGCGGACGGCAAAGCATCTATGTTGTCAGCTAGCAGACGGCAAATAACTGGCTGACGACAAACATGGTCTTTGTCGTCAGCTCTTTCTTTGCCGTCAGCTTTTATGAATTTGAGGGCAAAGACCTTCTTTGCCGTCAGCTAGCAGCCGGTAAAGAGCTGGTTGACGGCAAAGATCCTGATTTCAGTAGTGTCTAGCAAATTTCAATGGTGGATATTCCACCAAAGGGCTATGTAGCGATCTTGTAGAACATCTTAAGAGGAAACTAAAATTACTAACTTCTATGTAAGAACGTGATCAAGAGACGAGATGCTTTGATTATTTAGAGGCATACTAAGTTTGCTCTGGTTTGGACAAAAAATTCACCAAGTACCCCACATGCAGGCTCTAGCTAACAATTCGGTCTGGTTTCCTATGTTAAATACTTCAAGGAGATCATGTTTGAATACATGTCAGGCTAAGCTGACGACCCTAAGTTGAGTGTTGCATAGCAGAGTAAGATCAGACATCACCATGATCTAACTATACTCACACTTGAGCTATCATAATGCTCTATTCAGTGGTTTTGATCAAAGAAAGCAATGAAACTCGTTCGGATCAGATAGAAGATTCTCAAAATCTCCCTCTAGCGAGCCCTGGCTGAAAAAATCAAGCTAGCCCTAGATATTTCATGAAAAACTTTGTCTAGATTGATGACATGCCCAACAAACCGCAACACGCCAACTTCTACCAGACAGACTAAGATCACATATCACCAGAATTAGTCTGCCAACTAGGCAACAGATGATACATAACTCTGCCTATCAGGTTGAGGGTCTTTCAGATCCCAAGGATTTCTAAGAATCTTATTTCAGTTACTTTTGATCTCATCATAGGTATGTCGATCGGAGGAAATCAAGCAGTCTGGTCATCATCTCGGAACCATTTGGACAAAAAAAAGGATCAACAACCAAGACCTTGAAGAGTTGGGAGGCTTCTGATGGTGCCATGACCCCCGGGTATAGCTACGGAGGACAAAAGAGGCCCAATGACAGTAGGGCGGCCCAAGCATGCAACTCAACGTCCGCCGACAATCCGAAGCGCATCACCACCTTGGGGGACAAGACGTAGACTCCTCTCCGTATTAGGCTAGGAAACCATCTGTATACAGCATATATTAACCGATCATGTCCCCTAGACTAGGAAACCAAATGTAGCTTATGATAACTCCTTGGCCGACTCGGGACTTGTAACCTACCTTGTTCACCTATATAAGGCCAGGCAGGGACCCCTCCTCCCTCCATCACACCTGATTCTAGCTGACATTTGAGACTTCAGCCCCTAGATAGTCTTGCGACCGACCCCCTGTAAACGCATACCCTAGTTCTCATACGAGGCTCGATCATCAACGTAGACAAGTAGGAAGGAGGGTATTACCTCTGTGAGGACCTAAACCTGGGTAAATTGTCTTTGTGTGCACCACCCGGATCTTTGTCACGTAAACTATCCTAGATGGGTATTGACAAGAAAATATCACGTCAACAAGTGGCGGGGTTTGATCATCGATGGTTGCACCTAGCATGGGGCAGTGCTTACACGCCATGTCCTTGTTGAAGGCATTGTTTGCTCTCCGGGGGTGAAACCACATGACGTGAGTAGTTGGATCTTGCGACGACGGGACTATGAGCGTCTTTTCCGTTCTAGAGGTGTTACTTTCGAAGAACCTTTCTCGTATTTCATGCGGGGTCAACGATGGTGGATAGTTGGGCGCGTCGCTTTTCTTTTGTTTTTCCTTCTCATTAGTTTTGTTTGTTGTGTACACCATGCCTTGACTAAGTTTCAATATTGTGTTATGCAGAGATAGGATATAATTGGTATCATCTTGATATTAATACATTGTCTTTTATCAAGAATAAAACAATTCTCATGAAAAATAGATGGTGATTCAAATAGGAATGTGCGGCATTACAAATGTCTCCTACTTTAGTTAGATGTGCAACATTACCGATGTCCACACCATGGATGGGCACTGACGATGAAGAGGATCTCGGACTCATCTAAGGGTCAATTCTTTCGGGATTTATGGCTGACTATGAAAATAAGTTGTCCTCTCCCCAGATTATTCTACAAGACCAACCTAAATTTTATTTTAGAAGGCTAAAATAAATTTTAGGTTGGTGCTTCTAAATTAAAAAAAAATTAGGTTGATCTTGCCCTAAAGCTTCAGCGCAGCCATTTCGTGGTGCAAGGATTTCCTGCTATCAATTTAAATCTCCATGTATGCATGCTTTCCCTTGGATACTTTGCTTGACCAAACTGATGTTAAAACCATGACAGTTTCTCCAACAGAAATCAGCCCTTGTTTGAGAAGAACATTTCTAACAGCGATGCTTAAGATTTGTGGAATGTACTTTCTGCAACTCTAGGAGTTGTCGGCTGCATTCGATCATAGTTGACTGTCTTTTGTTCCGCTGACATCATTTTGCGGCCGGTACATTTAGCAAGTGATGGATCTGGACATGTGAGTTGTGAGAGCGTCAGCAAAACGATCGCATTTGTCAAAAAATTGCGGCGTCCTTGGGTCCCAGCGAAGACAGGAGAAGGGATGTACCATGTCGAATCAAATCCTAGATTAAACAAACGAATTTGCTGTGAAACGTTTAGCGGAATTTATTCCTGCGCCAACAGGTTGTGCAATATTTGCACAAAATCTTGTTTTTCCAAACACCCGGATGATATGATTCAGTTCTGAAAAATATCGCCTTTGACGGATTTTTCTTCAGTGAGTCTTCCTTTGCCAGAGTAAAGCGACAGTTAAAAGGCACAATAATATTGCAGCATTTGTACCAAAGATGACGGTCACAAATATATGCTCAGAGAATGCCGACATTCTTGTGTAATGGGGGCTCAAAATTCTCCATGCTACACTTTGACCGGTCCAGCCTCTTGCTCGAGATTATAGGCATAATAGCATATAGACTCACTTTCCAAAGTTCCCAGTAATGCGTTCATGAAATCCACTAACGTCCTCATAGTACTAGCCATCACTTCTACATTCTAGCATCCTTCAGAAACCTAAGGCTGAGTTCAAGGAGAACAATCGTTACCCCACGAACAGCAAATATATACTTTTTCAGTTAAAAAAAAAGAACACCTCATCTGGACTTGTACTGATCATTTTGCATGAAATGTGAAAATCTGGGATCTAGGTGGATGTAGTATATCACAACCAAGTAGCATGCCATCATCATGGCCCACTAAACTATTTAGCGGATTACCCTTACTATAATGGTCATGAACATCAGTCTGCTTCAGAACCCTCAAAAGTTGATAAAAACATCTAGCTATGTGAATAGATGATGCAATACCTACTAGCTATAATTCACCTTTACTTTTCACAAAAATGCTCCCCATATAATTCGTTAAGAGTACTCCTCTGCAGGCATGGCAAGGTATATTCCATGGCAAATAATTGCTTTCTTTTAAAATTTTCATTTCCATTGAGTGGCATGACTCGAGCAAAGATTCTTTATGGCATGGAGAGAGATATGATGCTAATTGGAGATTACATGCAGCCTTAACACTTAAATGATGCAACTACCAAGAGAAACAATAAGGAATGCATAATAAAAAATTCATGTGATTTACCGATTCCACATTCAGTCACAAAAGTGGCACCCTGACTACACAATGCATTGAAGAGCCATCGATTTTTTTAGTATGTTCCCCTGCAATTTAAAGTATAAATGTTAGAAGTTCTGCAGAAGCAAGGTATCCTCTTTCCAATAAAAAGTACTATAGCACATCCTCCTATGCTTTTCTGTGAACATATATATCAGAAATCACAATGACATACCATGTATGTGAAGTTGGACTATGAAGATATATGCACCACAAATTCGTTCGATTCAATATTCAATAGAAGCCATACAAGCACACAACACTTCCAAATACTAACGCAAACACAGTACAAAGTAACTAGTGCTTCGGATATGGTAGCTGCATCTAGAAAAGGTATAAGATATATTCTTATAGATGTGCAGAGATACAAACATATTGCTTGAGTCATTAATTTATAGAAGTACTTGACATTTGATGTCTAAAAATTCAAAGAAACCATGCAGCTTGGCAAATTTTGAGCCGTCAACACAATGATGCTGCTTCCTGACATAGAATATGCCTCCAATCTAACTGTAATATCTTCATCACATCAGGGTACCATAGCAGCCCAGTTATAAACATGCCAAGTTCCCAGAGTCCTCAACACAATTGGTTGCAAGTATACTATTTCATATGAAAATAATAAGGCTAGATATTGGTAGTGCAGAAATCTCAATAAAAACTCATTGAAGAATACTTTCTTCATACGAAAACAAATGAAACAGAACTAAATGTCAGAAACAAGCTGAGATCAGCAAGGACTGAAATGTCACAAAATGCCAGAGCAAAACAGATGTCAGATATTTTGATGTCGAAACAGAAACAGATGAAATGTTCCACTATGATGGAAGCCACTGTGTATTCACATTTAAGTCATATCAAAACATCAAAGCAATACACACTAAAAATTGCCCGGTAACAAAAGGGTGAAAGATATTTGATTTTGTTCATGCGATCACAGAGCATCTCTGTTGCTATACCACTAAAGCAGAACATGAAGGAGCTAGAAGGATATTCAAGTAAATCATATCAAAGCAATTGTATTGTTTCATATGGTATATCACTGAAATGATGAATAAAGAAGGGTTATGGAACTTTCATGCTATCTTCACCACCAGCAAGACTTCTGTAACCATCACCATCTTATATACAAAGACTAATCTTGATAGCCAGTGAAATTTCTTTGTCCATCTGAAGATGAACCAGCCATCCCTAAATTATGCAAAAACAAAAAAGGTTAAAAGGGTCAGAAGTTACTTTGGTAAATGGCAGTTTAAAACAAAGATGAGATAATGCCCTAATAAATTACCTCATCAAAATGGGATGGAATTTGCATCGTGTGATGTCACAGTTAAGCAGGTAACAACCTAAATTAGCTGCCACTATTGACAAATAAAGTTCTGCTGACTCTTCAAAAGGTTGTGCTTACGTGAGTGCAATTTGACTGCATGCAGTGTACTGAAGATTTTCTTCAATCATCATGATCATCAGCAGAAGCAGCACCCATACATGTAGCTTAAGAATCAATCTTATCTCTTTGTAGTGCAGTGCTACTCCAAGTCCTGGTTGCTGTTTTTCTTCAGTCATCCATGAGTTGCACATTTCTGTCTCAGGGTGACTGGATCACACCACATCTTAGAGCAAAGCATGAGACGTAGAGATGCGACTTCTTAGGGGAGAAATTTGGAGTTATAATGTACAGTAAGGTACCACAGCTCTACCCTCCATCACAGAATTTGTTACCCTGCCAGTTCACACCCTGGTCCAATATAAAATATTAGTAGTCATAAAGGACTAAACTATGCAACAAACTAAGCATTGGATATAACTCCTCCCGAAAGTAACTTTGGTATCTAACATGAAATCAGAAGGTAGCTCCTGTCCACTTCAAGTGGGAAATGCAATATGAAACCAAACTGTAGAGGCTGTTTAAGGTATATTACAGGTGCTCTTCAGTTTGAATACACAATTTGAGGGTGAACTAAAATTAGCAGAATAATTGTGCCAAATATGCTCCATAAACAGACATGCTATATTTACCAGGAAAGCTATCTAAGTGGAGCATTACTGCTGACGGATATTATGTGCCTGACAACAGTTCATCTACATAGCAAAATAAAAGCAGATGATAAAGAGATGTGTTCGAACAGTATATGCAAGAAGTGGACTGACCTCCTGGCATATGCCATAACACAACTGAAGAGCTTCATTCCACTTATTCATTTCAATTAGTCCCTTTACAAGACAAACAAAGGCACTTAAATCTGGTACAATGCCTTTCCTGGTCATTTCACTATATAATGCAATTGCTTCTTCAACTTGAGATGATAAACAAAGTGCCTGGATTAATGAGGTGTGCATGTCCGTGCTGGCCATATTTAGGGATGACAAGACTTCCATCATCTCTTTGTGCAACTCCAAGGCTGTCTCCAGTCTACCAGCCTTGGAGAAACTATCAATGAGCATCCCATAAACAAGAGCTATCGGTGCTGTGTCATGTGATTCCATCTCCTCCAACAAACCAAGAGAAGCAAGAAACTTCTTGCTGAAACCCTGAACTGTGTTGCGGTATCCTTGCAGATACTTTGGCCAGTGGGTCTGCTTCATCTCATCAAGCAGTAAATGGGCATCGTCCAAAAGACCAGCAGCACAACAATGGTTTATCAGTATTCTGTATGTAACATAGTTGGGAGCACATCCTTTTGTCTTCATTTGCATAAAAAGCTTAAGACCTGCATCAACTTTACCAGCTTTCCCTAGTCCGTGTATTAGGGCAGTGTAAGTTACAACATTTGGACTGCATCCCTTCTTTTCCATCAATGACAGCAGGTTTAGGGCTTTTTCAGTTTCACCTGTTTTACAGAGCCCATCAACCATAGCTGTGTAAGTGACGACATTAGGATTACATGAATCCTTTAGCATTTGAGACAAAACTTTCATTGCAAGATCAAGTCTCCCATCCTTGAACATCCGGTCAATCAAGGACGTGTATGTATGCACACTAGGCAAGTAACCACACTTAGTCATCCGCAGAAATACCTTCTGAGCACTATCAATTTCTCCAACTTTGCAAAAACCATCAATCAGAGCATCATAAACAATCTGGTTGGGCTCACAGCCAGATGATAGCATAGCATCTAGCAACTCATGAGCATCAGCCACCTTTTGAGCTTTGCACAAACCATCTACAAGTGCACCATAGGTGACAACATTTGGAGAAATGGTGTCTGTGTCCTTGCCTTCAAAGTAGAAATCAGATTCTTTACTGTCAGAAGTCCCTATTAATTTGGCATAGACTTCGCAGGCCTTTTGGATTTCGCCCGTCTTACAGAGGCCGTCAATTAGTGCACTATATGTAACGGCATTTGGATAGCAGGAATCATCAACCATTCTGTGGAAGATGATATTAGCCTGACAGAGCTGCTTAGATTTCAGGTAAGCATGAAGCAATGCAGTATATGTCACTACATTTGGTGAGCAGCCAGCACTTCTCATCTCATCAAACCAGCCCTGGGCTTGTTCAATGAGACCAGCCTTACAAAAGCTATCGATCAAAATTGTGTATGTGTACACATCCGGATTAACACCTACCTTCTTCATCTCTTGAAATAAAAGGAAGGCCTTGTCTACCCTGTTAGCCTGGCACAGAAAAGTAATCACCTTAGTGTACGTGCTTGCATCAGGAACAAAGCCTTTCCTCATCATCTCCTTCATTATCTGAAATGCCTTCTCAAATTTTCCCACACCACAAAGGCACCGAGCAAAATTGGCAGTGTTAACCTTATTGAGAACGCAGCTAGCAACCAGCATCTCCTCGTAGACTTTCTCTGCCAAATCCAACAACTCAAGATTTGGCAATTCTTCTCGACCACAAATGCTTCCAATGAATATGTTGTATACAACATAACCAGGAGGACAACCGCAGTTATTCATCCTATTAAACAGTTTATATGCATATGCATAATCCTCAGCATTGCAGTAAGTATGCACAAGTGAATTGAACAATGAAGGATTTGGATTGCAACCCTCTGTCATCATCATGTTAATGATTCTCTTGCACCAGCCAAGCTGCTTCTTTTTCAGAAATCCTGAGAGCAGCGTCCTATATGTTACCACATTCGGGATATACGAGTTGCACCGCATCCTGTGAAGAAATGACATGGCCTCATTGAAAAGGGAGGCCTCCATCAGTCCACTGATCATCTGGGTGCACAACACAGTGTCGAGCTTAAAATCCTCCCTCTCTATCATGTCAAGTGCATCGCCCCAACGTCCCTCCTTGCACAGAGCCTGCGCAAAGGATCCGACTGTGGACCTGTCCATGCAGAACCCTGATGCCGACATCTCCTTCTGCACTCGGAACCCCATTTCCACCTGCCCCGCGCTCGCAAGCACCTGCACGAGTGCATTGTAGGTCACCGCGGACGGCCTGTACCCAAAGTCCTTCAGCCTCCCAAGCTCCTCAAGCGCCTCGCCCCACATGCCTTGGCGGCAACACTGCCGCACCAGCACATTGAGCAATCTGCCGAGCACGTCACGATCATCCTCCCCAATCTCCCTAAGCAGCCTCTCGGCGGTCCTGGCGCGGTCTTCGAACCCCAAGACCTCGGCGAGCGCGTCGTAGCAGGCACCAGTGTGGCTGTAACCCACCTGGCGCTCGGCCCAGAGGAAGAACCTGACGCAGAGCTCCGGGGAGCGCACCGCCCTGAGCACCGCGACCACGACGGAATCGGTAAGGAACTCGCGGTACCGTCGCAGGAACCGCTCGGCCTTGCCGTCGAAGTCGGCGCCGTAGGCCCGCACCGCCTTGGAGATCAGGACGACCTCCGGGGGCGGGAGGGCGGCGGCGGGGGGCGCGGGGGCAGGGTCCCTGATAAAGGCGAAGTCGTGGAGGGAGACGCGGGGCCCGGGGCGCGGCGTGGGCCGGTCGACGAGGCCTGGCAGGAGGTCGCCGGTGTCGGCGGCGTGGGAGGAGCGGGCGCGGCGCAGGGAGGCGCG